CCGCCGCCGCGACTCTGACCACCAGCTGCTCCGGGGGGCTGTTCTCGGCCAGGCGTGCCTCGTAGACCTCCCGACCGAAGACCGGGATGTTGTCATTGGCATCCAGCACCACGATCCGGACCTGAGCCGTGCCCGACCTGGGTGGCGAGCCCCCGTCGGTGGCGGTGAGGAGTAAATTCAGCTCTCGCTGCTCTTCACGGTCCAGCTGACGCTCTAGCACGAGCTCCGCATATTTTGCTCCACCTTTCCTTGTTCCGAGAGCGAGGGAGAAATGTGAATCGGACCAGAGGCTGTAGTTCTGCAAGCCGTTGCTGCCTGCGTCCTTGTCCTGGGCGCTTTCCAGTGGGAAACGTGACCCAGGAGATGCACTTTCCAGAATCTCTAAAACCATCTCCTTCTCTGGGAACACGGGGGAGTTGTCGTTCACGTCACGAACATCCACCTCCCCTCGGATCAGCTGCAATGGATTTTCAAAGAATATTTTAAAGGTCAGTGTGCAGGTATCGCTCTGCGGACAGATCTCCTCTCGGTCCAGCGACTCCTTTACCGTCAGGACTCCGGTGTTTTGATCGAGGTGGAAAAGCTGCTCGTTCCCCTCGGACACAACGCGGGCCTTGCGAACTGCGAGCTGGCTCGGAGAGATCCCCAGGTCCTTTGCAATATTGGCGACAAAGGAGTCCCTCTCCATTTCCTCCGCCAGAGAATAGCGGAGGGTTTCGGCCCCGCTCTGACACACGCAGACGCACAGAATAACCAAGATCACTTGCCTCTTGCTGCCTCCGCTCCATCTCCCACACGCCATTATTCTCCAGAAAAGCCATCCAGCGTCCTCCTTTGTTCCAAGCATTTTCAGTAGCGTCCGAAGCAGAGCGGTTTTTGTCAGTAATCCCCAGGTAAGGGGGTCTGAAAGCCCCCGAGCACCCCGACTCCGTGCCCCACCGCCCTTGCGGAGCGGCTCACACGGCTTTTTTTTCTCTCCCTGCGCCTGCAAACCCGGTGCGGGCAGAGGAACTTCCCGGTCCGTGGCCAACACCCCCACCCAGCGTCGCAAGGGGGAATATTTCCTCTGCCTTCTCATTCGGGGCAGAGCTGCTGATTTGGAGTTTGCTGCTTCAATCTGCACTTTCCGTGCCATACCGAAGCCAAAAGGCGCAGTGTAAATGCCCTCCTCGCTTGGAAACAAGCTCCCTCCCCGCACACTTCCCAGCTCTCAACGGCGAACTCTTCATACACAGCTTTTGGTTTTCCTCTGTGTTGTGTAGGCATTGCAAGATCTACCACTTCCATAGGATACAGTGCGGGATTTTCCTTCTCTTCTGCACTTGTTAATCGGCACAGGACAGTCAGCAAGTGGGGTGGGTCAAAGAAGCACCACTGTTGAATATGAAAGCTGGTACCAGAGAGCTTACAGGGAAAGGTTCCGCAAGGAAATGCTTCACCAGCACCCTAGCTCACCATCACACTGGAGTGAAAATGCGATTCTAGAACACATCATCCTGATCCTTTTTTCTTCACATTGTAAATCACACCTCGCCTAAAGGGAGCACAACATTCACGCTTTTCACACAGACAAGTTATTCTCCTTAGTTGACAGAAGCATCTTCCCCTGCCACCTGCTGACTGTGCACCCGTGGTAAGATGTGTCATTGTGTAACACGTTCATGAAAAATGTCCCCAGCAGTACACCGAAATACTGCAACCTGTTTTCATGTTTTGGAGGTATACAGTCCCTTCTCCTCTGATGTTACCCCACAGGCTTAGAAATACTTTAAAGGTTCCTGTACTTAGAGATCAGACTTGAACTCCTGTACCTGTGTACGGCCAACAGCTATTGAATATCAAAGGCAAGAAGAGGCCATAAATTAAACCGCCAGATACACAAACGCTAACGACCAGGAGTTACAGGCGACAATAGCAAAGACCAGGGATCTAACAACATCGGTCGATGGGCCATCAAAGGAACCATTGAAGTGTAAACTCCGAGAGGTTCAGCCAGAAATTTTGTAAACGATAAGGGGTGGGGGATATTATCATGGATTATCAGAAAGGGTGTCATAGGAAAAAGCAAATTGATTGTGCTATGTTTGAGGGGGGTTCTAGGAATGTGCAAAGCTAATTAAAGGGTGATTAGAGGCAGAATCACATTCGGTAAAAGGGAGAGGTCACGAGCGGTCCTGGGAGGAACAACCGCGGGGAAACGGAGGTGGGAGGGGAGAGCGAGGGATCCTGAGCAAGGCGCACAGCTACCTTCAAGACCAGTCTTCCTCTTACAGAAATAAAAAATGGAGGAGAAACCAAAATACAGCTTATACTACTTATTTTTGGTTCAAGCAATCGAAATTCAGGTTTTACTATAAGAGGAACAACGCTATTTTTTTATAACTTTCTGTATCCTAACCTCTGTGGTTTTGACACCTTTCCTTTAATTTTCTAGCTCTTTTCTCCTTATTTTTGTTTGCTAACAGGGCTGACCCTGTCAATGCATGCTCACCAGGTGAAGTTCTAGAAATTCTTTGATGCTTTAATTTGTTTTAAAATAAAAAATTCGTGACTGTATCAGTAGAAGAAAGTAACAACCAGGTTTGACTTTCCCCAGAATTTTAGCTACTAGAGGACTTTGCAAGGATGCAGCCATTTTTTGTGTTTTCTTTTTATTGCCCTTTGACTTGGAAGTGTGGTACGATCTAGCAAGCTAACTTACACCAAAAGCCAGGTCAATTCTTTCTTCCTTTCTTCCCTTCCAGCAGATGTCCA